ATGGCAAAATGTAATTCAGATTTAGGTTAATTATAACTGCTTGATTTTATATAAGATTTATAGAAAAATTTGACTATAAGAATACGCAACAGGAATAAAATAAAAACATGAAAAAGAGAAAATGAGCTGGAATACAACTTTAACAAATGTCTGTATTTCCCAGGGCAGTTCAGGAAGAAATTCTATCAGAAAATTGGTCAAGGGTGTAAGAGGCCCAAAGTAAGTGATTTCACAGAACCCCCAAAAAAGGGAGAGACTAACAGACAGTTTGTAATGCCAGGTGTCCTGAAGGTTTCAGAAAGCAAGAGCTGTGCTTACTCATGGTTAGCTTAAAAACGAGTTTATAGTAGAACAATAAGCATTCAAGCTAGGCTGTAGGAAATTAAAGAGAAAACAAAAATAAGCATATACTTTCTTAGGAACATAGAAAAAATGGACAATAATATGAGAAAAAGGGAGAAAAACTATATTTTGAGTACTTTGTGCAATTTAGATGCCTTTTTTCACTGTCATTTTTAGTCTTCATGTCTATCCTTAACTGTGTACTGTTTAATTTTACAATTTAATATCTGGTATAATAAAATAAGTACCTTAAAAAGAACTTCAGCTGCATCCCACAGTGTGATGATTATATTGAGGAAAGCATTTATGAGATTCTCTGAGTTATGAGCTAAACTAGCTGCTTTTTTCAGGGAATACCATTTTTATTTTAATAATAAGAGACGAGCGATGGTTATTCACACGTGGGTTCTTGGCAGACAGGTTCTTGGAAAAAGACCAGTCTCTTCAAGGAAAACAATTGTGACAATATTTGTTGCCAACAATAAAATTTGAGCTTTCCAGCCAAAATTAGAATTTTGAAAGACTTGTACCTGTCACTGAATTTAAAAGTCCTAAAGACTTTTCTGATGAAACTGGTGATAATATTAATAGTTGTGGCTTTTTACTATGGTACAGTGAAAATATAGATTGGTTATCAAAAAGCATATACAAAGTTGGGCATGGTGGCGTACACCTGTAAGCCCAGCACTTGGAAGGCTGAGGCAGGATGATTGCTGCAAGTTCAAGGCCAGCCTGTGCCAAATAGTAAATTCAAGGCCAGCCTGTACCACATAATGAGACCCTGTCTCAAAAAAATGAGTAAAATAGCGTATGTAAAAATCAAAATGACTATAAAACTAGACATTAGAAATTTTTGAAAAAAATTCTCACTAAATGATTTGTTATGTGAGAGTTTTGTTTTTATAAACTATGTTATGTAGCAGAGTGGCTCATTTTAAAAGAATTAAATATTTAACCCTTATTTTCTTTGTTTTAATTTCTAATATCATTAGTGTAATCCTTGTAAATAAAGCTTCTTTAGGATCTTCAGTAATTTCTATAAAAGTCCTGAGACCAAAAGTTTGAGAATTGCTGCCCTAACATTTCATTTAGATGTCAGTTAAAACATCCTTAAATTCCTCTACATTTTTAAAGTCATAAATGTTTATGTTTATATGCTGTGATTTTCTTAATGCTTTTCAGACATACAATTGAAAGTTATAATAATCGATGGTAGATAATTTTGAGGATTTTTCTAAGAATATGTTTGTCACATTGTAGAAAAGAAAATTAGCTTGAGACAGAGACAGTAAAGGTCAGACACAACAGGCTTACAGGTGAAATATTCATGTGTCAGTCTGTGGGAAGTGTGGAGTTAAAAGCCCACCGTGGTGCATGTGTCACTCCTTTTCCAGAATGCTGCCGTATGGTTGTCTCTCCATTGGGGACTGTGTAGGACTGATCGAGGTGGTGAGAAATTCTCACACGATCATGCAGATTCAGTGCAAAGGTGGCCTGAAAGGTGCACTGCAGTTCAATAGCCACACGCTGCATCAGTGGCTCAAAGACAAGAACAAAGGAGAAATGTGAGTTCACCATCTTTCTTCCCTAAAGTCTGCTGGGTGAGGCAGACTACGGTTGCCAATAGGCCGGAAAAAGTAATTCTCCTCACTTTGGAAAAAAAATCCTCAACTTTTGAAATGTTTAAGGTTATTTGTAAATGATCAGAATTACTTAAATTCGATAAACATTCAACATATATACCTAAAATGTTCTTATTGCTTGGGTTTTTTTTTTAAATTACACATTCAAACTTTTAATTCTTCAATAAAATTACTAATTTTTTTCAGTACTAGAAATGGAACCCAGAGTCTTCCTACTGAGCTACATCCCCAGCCCTTTTTTGTTTTGAAATAGGGTTGTGCTAAGTCACTAATTTGCCCAGGCTGGGCTTGAATTTAAGATCCTCCTGCCTCAGCCTCCCAGAATACTGACATTACAGGTACGCACCATCATAGCCAACTAAAAACAAATATTAATTTTAATGATCAAAGTATTTTTCTATGATAAGAATCATGCTTTGGTCAAGAAATACTAGAAATTTCCCTTGAAACCCTTAACAACGTAAGAATCTCAAATTCCTCAGATTTTGGACATAATTCTTTTTTTTTTTTTTTTTTTTTTTTTTTTTTTTTTTTTTTGTCTTTTTCATTTTTATCGGTACCAGGGATCGAACTCACCACCGCCTGCTTGCCAGGCAGGTGCTTATGCCGCTGAGCTAAATCCCCAGCCCCAGATTTTGGACATAATTCTACCATGTTTTGCCAGTTTGGCCTAGTGCATATGACTTATGAGGTGTTTATTTCTTCCTTGCAGATACGATGCAGCCATTGACCTATTTACACGGTCGTGTGCCGGATACTGCGTAGCTACCTTCATTTTGGGAATTGGTGACCGTCACAACAGTAACATCATGGTGAAAGATGATGGACAGGTAATGGCTTTTACTTTTTAAAGTCTTTTGGTATTCCTAATTATTAATTCAAGGAAGTTAAGTCTGCATGTATCAAGCTATAACATAATTTCTTATTTTTAAAAGCTGTTTCATATAGACTTTGGACACTTTTTGGATCACAAGAAGAAAAAATTTGGTTATAAACGAGAACGTGTACCATTTGTTTTGACACAAGATTTCTTAATAGTGATAAGCAAAGGGGCCCAAGAATGTACAAAGACCAGAGAATTTGAAAGGTAAGCTCAAGAAATTAAAATACAAAATAAGGAGTTCTTGCTGTAATGTCAGAAACAATTGATATTTTTAAGCAGTTCAAGGTAATAGATGTTATTTAGGAAAACTGAGTGTTTTAGTTTTTGTATTTAATTATTTTAAGGAAAATGGAAATAAAGACTAATTACTGAGTTAATAGTGAAGGCCTAAAAAGTCATTCTTAACAACACTTAAAAGTTTTTTATTTACTGCTGTTTAGATAATTAGACTCTGCCTTTTCTGTTTTGCAAATAATGTATAGTGCTTAAAACAATGTTTTACAGTCATTTAACTCAAAAAGTAACTGGCTATAATTACCATGCTTATTCAGAATTTTTCTTATTACTTGACAGTACATAATTAACCTATTTTAAAACTTGAAGTACTTTCATAAAATTCTGCTCTATCTCCTACTCAGTCTTCTGACTATAGCTGAAGCCCTGAAGTCTTTAATATGGACCATGCCATATATTTAATGATGTTTAATAAATACTAAATCCCTAATGTGTCAGGCATGTGCTTGTGATAAAGCAGTAAACAAAGTTTTTTAATGGAGCTTGCATTCAGGTGGGGTAAAGGAAATAGAGACATGTGGGCTAGGGAAATGGGGAGAGAATAGTACAACTTTTTTTTTTTTTTTTTTTTTTTAATAGCTTTGTCCAAGTAAGCCTCTGAATTGTGTGACATTCAAGCAGAGACCTAATGTCAGTGCCATTTGCTCCATACTGACCAAATTGTTCTTGCCACTTATAGGTTTCAGGAGATGTGTTACAAGGCGTATCTAGCTATTCGGCAGCATGCTAATCTCTTCATAAATCTTTTCTCAATGATGCTTGGCTCTGGAATGCCAGAACTACAGTCTTTTGATGACATTGCATATATTCGAAAGACCCTAGCCTTAGATAAAACTGAGCAAGAGGCTTTGGAATATTTCATGAAACAAATGAATGATGCACATCATGGTGGCTGGACAACAAAAATGGATTGGATCTTCCACACAATTAAGCAGCATGCATTGAACTGAAATGATAAGTGAGAAACTGAAAGCCCAATGATCTGGATTCTACACTGCACTGTTAATAACTGACAGCAGGCAAAGACTGATTGCATAGGAATTGCACAATCCATGAAAAGCATTAGAACTTACAGCAAGAAACAGAAATAAAATACTATCTAATTTAAATAATGTAAATGCAAACAGGGTTTGATAGCACTAAACTAGTTCATTTCAAAGTTAAGCTTTAGAATAATGCGCAATTTCATGTTATGCCTTAAGTCCAAAAAAAGGTAAACTTTGAAGATTGTTTGTATCTTTTTTTAAAAAACAAAACAAAACAAAACCCCCAAAACAAATAGAAATAATGGAGAAGAAAAAAGAATGATGTTCTGTGTGTCCTACAAATGTTCTATGTTTTGAAATGTGGATACAACCAAGCTGTTACTGCATTAGGTCTAAGTAAATGAGTTTAATGTTAAATTGCATAAGATTGGAAAAGAATGAAATTTTTTTTAACTTTCCCATTGCTGTTCAATTTACAATTTGAAGTGGGTTTTTGACTCCTTGTTTAATGAAGAAAAATGCTTGGGGTGGAAGAGACTCTTGAGATTTCACCAGAGACTTTTTCTTTTTAATAAATCAAATCTTTTGATTACATGGGGTCTTATCTGCAAATTTCAGAAGCAGTCACAAATGAGACCTGTTAAAACATGGTGTTTTTGTTGGATTTTTTTGTTGGTGGTGGTTTGTTGCTGTTACTGTTTTCTGACAGTATTGACAAGATCTGACTCTTATTTTCCAGGGGAATTCTGGGCTCCCACAAACTAAAATAATCATCTTAGAAAAAAAGCATGAGCAGGAATAGTTCTTTTTCCACAATTGTACAGTATTCACCTTAAATTGATTTTTTTCTCCTTTTGCAATTGAACTGAATACATTTTTTCATGCATGTTTTCCAGGAAATAGAAGTGAGTATTAATGTTATTAAAAAGATTATTTTTTTTATTAAAGGCTATTTATATTATAGAAACTATCATTAATATATATTCTTTATTTACATAATCTGTCCCATAGTCATGCATTGTTTTGCACCCAAATTTTTATTGTTTGTAGCAGCATCAGCTTTCCTCTTGGGCTATAGATGAGGCTCAAGCACCATCCCATTTATACCCGTACCCAGTGTATAACGATTTACAGGAAGCAGATTGAACTCCGCCATCTTTTCCTTTCTGTCTGTTTTTTCACATGATTCCCTTATCATCCATCCTTTTTTAGTTGGAATGGCTCAGTCATGTGAAATTCGTTACCAAACTTCACAATTTATACTATCATCCTGACTGCTTAAACCCCTCTACCGAGACCTGCTCATGAATAGTATTTTATAATGTTACAGAATAGAAGCCAACTTTTTATTTTTAAAGATATTTATCCATATTTCAATATTAAAAGAAGAACATTAAATCATTTTCAAATCATATCTTGTTTCCCAAGTGATCAGGTCTCATCCCAACTTCATTAAATCCCATTTGAGCACAGAACACATTCTTAAACATTTTGAAAAATATTCACCCAATATGCAGGAGTTAATGCTAGTCATCATTCTAGGATCTGATATTTTATTCAGTATTTCAAATGAGTGACTAATGTTCTAAGAAGTAGCTTTAGCAAATTCCTGGGTGCCACACCAAAATGAATAAAGTGCAATAATTTACTGACAGTTTTCTAGACTAGGCATTTATTGGAGAACAACCTTATAAAGAGTGCACATTGTATAACCTAGTAAAACAGCATCACTTTAAAAATATTCTTCTGTGAAACCAGATATCTGTAGAAGTCTTGAATAGTGAACAAGGGACTCTAATCAAATACTCTTAATATCTGGCTATTTTAGAACCCTTAAAGGGCATAATTAATGAAGATTTAGATACTTCACTAAAGCATGTATATAATGCCACCATGAAAAAAAACTGAAGACTAGGGGAACTTATTTCTGTAAACTGTCTTGAAATAGTTATGCAGAATTTAATCCCTTGTTTTAAATTGAAAGCCAGATTCTTCTGCTAATAGAGGTTTCATTGTTTAAACAGTTAATGTTTTGTGTTATTTAGATATATGCAGTATACTAACATCCCAGCCTTTTCTATATCAGGGATTGATTAATAGAAAACTGAGTACAAATGGTACAGAGCTGAAACTTTGATGGTGGAAACTGAAGAATTAGAGAATTGTGTTTTACTCAAGTGCCAAAAAAGCCTTGAGCCTCCATGCACAAAATCTGTACAGTTTTTACATTTCTTTCACCTTAGTTCAGATAGTTGCCCATCTTCTATCCCCCTAGGACCTCTTCACCATTAAAACACACAAGCCACATAGCTTATTTCATTACATATGTTTATTTTTGAGTTATTACAACCAAATTAATTTGAGTTGAAGAAGCATAGATAAATTCTGTAAAGAATATAGATTAATGATCTGAGCAACAGAGGAGGACAGGGAGTGTTCAGAAAAGCGAAGACCAAAAATTGAATGGAAAGCTCCACCGGGTGACTAAGACCTGTTTCAAGTCTGCGATGATACAGCCACTTCCAGGTACTTGAGAGTCAGAGGTCAGCTGATGTCGCTGGCCCTGTGTGTCATCAACCATGATGTAGTTGACTATTGGCTCTACAGTTTCATTACTTGAGAAATATTCCTTCAGTAATTAGTTTGGAAGGAAAAATCATATCTAAAGAAAAAAGCCTAGCTTTAAATACAGTGTAGCAAGAAAATAGTCAACTGGTTAAAAATCACTTTTTACCATATCCTCAGCTGTATGAAAGCATTCATTTTGAGTATTTTTAGACTGCTGTTAATTTGAAATCTGTTAATATTATTGTGAAATTTGGGTTTTTTAAAAAAAATAAGATGTTTCTATTGGATTTTTTTTAAAAGAAGAATGGAATTTGGTTGCTATTTTATGACAGAACCTAAGCTTTTTCTGGTTCTGAGTGTCCTATGTAAAACTTAGTGTCAGAGTAATTAAGGTTTTCCCTTTATTCTGCTTTATATTACAATCTCATTAGGAAATGGGAAACTGGTGAATATATAATGAATTGTAAAATATTTTAATGTGTAACTTTCAACTGTGAAACTATGACTATTGAAATTTTGATGAAAACAGCTGCTGATAAAGTATTTTGTGTAAAGTGTAGTTCTTATTAATCAGGAAATGATCGTTTGATTAGATTGTGTATACCCTCTTGGACTTTATTTTAAATAGATGGATTTTTACATAGGTAAAACACAGTCCATCTGTGTTCTTTTTCCATCAAAATCTGACTAATTTGGCATTATTTTTTTAAAAAATTGTAAGCAGCCTGTGTTAAAGGCATGATGGAAATTTCACAGCACATAAACTTGGATTTTTTTTTACATAATGATTTTGTATATCCATTTTATTCATATTTTGATCAGTAACCCCTGCTTGCCAATTTTTGAAAGAAATTTACTTTCTAGCAGTATGTTCAAGCTAGTATGTTAACTTTTTCTGAATATTATAAGTTCCTTTTCTGTGTGTACACAAACTGTAGACCCGGGCTGGACCCACAAACTTGAAGTCCACCTTAAAAAATTATCTTGATGTCCAAGATATTACTAAAATAATTCAGTTTTAAAACAGTATATGGTGTTAATAGATGGTGGTGCTTCTATTTAAGTCAATTGTTCATACTTCAGATGTTTTGGAGCTTACCAATGTGAAGGGAGGGACAGAACAGGGAGGGGTTATTTGAATGAACTGCATTCTTTATGTCCATCCTTCCCAGACGGGGCACGTCTAAGGGAAGGCTGGAAGCTGTGAATATATACTGTTCGTACTACGAGGAAATTAACTCTTCATCAAGGATGGGTTGTGAAGGCTGAACTATACAATTCAGCACTGACGGCCTCCTCAATAATAATTCTTGGTAAAAGGATGTTACAGCTGGGCTGTTTTTCTTAAAGTACAAACAAAACCATTTTAATCACTACATTAAAACTGTAAATACATCTTTATGTGCCATGATCTGGGAAGGTTGTTTTCTTTGGTCATAAAAATTATTTCCACTTTCTGAAAAGATTATTAGGATTTCATTCAAGGTAGATATGGTCCCAATAAAATTGGATTGGTAAGGGCTGGGGATTTAGCTCAGCAACATAAGCGCCTGCCTTGCAAGCAGGCAGTCGTGAGTTTGATCCCTGGTACCAATAAAAACGAAAAAGACAAAAAAAAAAAATTGGATTGGTAACTGTACCTTAGAAAGTTAGGAGAGAAAAAATAGATGAGTTAAAATTCAGTACTTCAGGCTCTTACATGACAAATTTTTCCAAGCACTTTATTTTGGATTTACAAAGTCAAAGTTGGCATGTCTTGTTTTTAATGGTGCTGGAGATATTAAAAATTTTTTGGCTAAAATTTAACTATTGCTAGAGTCCTTCGGAAAAGGCTGTAATGTAGTGTGAAGAAGTTCATAGCACTAGGTTCTCAAATTTGGTGTTTAAAATCCATTTATTCTCTTTTCTCCATAACTAGTGTGTTTCATATGTGTGTTTATGCATAATTTCTATTTGTGCACACATTGCAAGTTCTAGTCAAGAGGAGTCTTTTATAAAAGATGTAAATGAATATTAAGGTTCTAAAATTCAGAAGAGTTTAGAATTCATCCGGAGTCTCCCAAGTTGGGATGTTAGTCTTTAAATAAACTTATTTATTTCATTCAAGTGTTCCACTTGATTAAAGTTTTGCACTTCCTTTTTAGTGCAGCACCATTCCTGTTGCTTAGTTTTAGGTGTGTTAATAGGTTAGCCACATTAGTTAGCAGAAAGGAGCAGGTGTGAGTCATAATGATATTTTCTTACTTGTAATTTTTACACAACTACATGTAAGAGTTTTCGTGGGGGAGGGGGGGTAAAATTAGTCCAGTGTATGTATGTATAGTCTAGTTCAGTGTAACTGAGTTTTCACTGCCAACAGAATCCATTCTTCATGTTGGTAAGTACAGAAAAAGTTTTAAAATAATTTTGTAAGCTAAGTGAAGTCTATCAATCTGCAGCCTCATCTAATCTGTCACTGCAATAATTTTGTGGCAAAACCATATATATTTTTAGGTATTCTTATTTTTGTTGAGCCTTCTAGGTTAGCAAGGAGACAAAAACCCTTCGGTGTTTCACATGAAAATGTCTTTAATATGACTAAACTCTTTCATTTGTGTATGAATTTCTAAGTGTGGTCACCATCTACTGATTTCATTTTTAGAAAGTTCCTCACCAGATTTATGTTCTAAGAGTAGTTGAAGAACTTGGCATTTATCAGAAAATTTTTTTCTTGCCATTGAGCTCACATTTTTTGTGCAGTTAATGGTTTCAGTGCAGTTCAGTCTTCACACTTAATTTGGTTAAATAAAATCCAAAAGAACATGCCCTCTGGGACCTGACACCTTCATATCCTGGGAGTGTAATGCTACCAAAAGACTGCTGACACATCAGTTGTTCACGACAGAAGCTTGAACAAGGAGCTCTAACTGGCCTTTTCTTTAGCCCCATTAATTGTAGCAAGTCTATTTCTCTATATTCTGTTCATTCAATGAATTGAAATCCTGTGATATAATGCATTAGTTAAGAAAACTTGTTTTTGATATCCTCTTTATGATGGCCCCCAAACTATTTGACACAGCAAGATGCATGTGTTATTATGTTGAGAATATAGAACAATAGCACTAAATTTAAGACCTCTTCCCAGTCTTGCTCTTCCTAGCAAGAAGTTTGGCCTGTGACTGCACTTATTGTTTGTTTGTGCTCATTAGAACCTGTCAATGTCTGCTTTTCTTTAACTTTGCAGTCTGTAACATCACGCTGTTTATTAAAAAAAAAAAAATACCTTGACTTGTGTCCTAACGTAGTGTATTATGTAAAGAAAAAGCTGTGATAATTCTATTTTTCCATTTCTCTAAAACCAAACTAGTATTGTAAATAATCAAAATTGAGCCGGATTTGTGTTCTTTTCAAAAATGACTAAGAATATTTGTTTGAAAACCTAAAACAATTATGCCTTAAAAGCCAACTTTTCTGCCCTGGTAAAATGATGAATATAAGAAAATTATGTTTAGATACTTTATTTAAGCATAAAGAATTATATACTTGTATTTTATGCAGACATATATGAGTGTGAATGTTTGTATATATGCATATAAGTATATAATCTTTTTTTCAAGTCGTTTGAGGGCCAGAGCCTAAAGAAGTTAGGCTAGAAGCAAACTGATTTTGCTTTCAGTTATCATTAAACATTGCTAAAGGTAAGTCTGAACCTTTCTTTGACCACTGATGCACATTGTTTTTGGTATTTGTTACTTTTAAGCATTGAAGCATATCACTGATTAAATTTTACTGATATGCCAAATTATTTGAACTTTAAATTGACATTGTTCCCTGAGTATAATTTCTTTCCTGAGATGAACCAAGTGGTCACTATCTGAATAGAAAACTGAAAGTAATTGCAGCATGTACTTTAGCTTGCATTTGTTAGGAGAAAAATTATATTGCTAAAATGTACAAGAAACAGAATGGTGATACGCTTTTAAGAAAACCACAGAATCTCCATTTTCAGAATGATTTAAAATGTACATGTATACATGTGTTGTATTACAGGAAAATCTCTAGCATACAAAATAATCTACTACAACGTTTAAGCAGCAACTTCTGAGCCATAAATATATGTATCACATATAGCCAAAAGAATGGGGGAGTGGGCAGAAGAACCTGCTCTTCCAGCACCCTACCCAGCCTCCTGCCCTTCCTGCTATGCCATGAAAAGTTCCAAATCTGACTATTACAGCTCTGCACAAGATTTTTTTTTCAGCTACTAGCAGTTTTAAGTACCTTTACTAGATACCAGAAACTGTTTCATTTACCCCCACCTTGTGCTTTAAAATAATGAAAGAAGAGACCATCCCCATGGTACAGATAAGAGAACAGAGGTTTTAACAGATTAGCTGATTTGCCCAAGGATGTATGTCCAAGAACTTGTAATTATGGCCTGCAAATTAAAATGAATCTACTCTGAGATGTATTCTTTGCACATTAGAAAGAGAATGGAAGACCAAGATTGTTCATAACTAGTCAATATTGTTCTACTTAATACTCAGTTTGCTGATTTATGGCTTGAAATTAATTACTAAAAGACACTAAGCTGACTTAGAATCAAAGCTTGTCTCGATTATATCTACATATAAATTACTTTTTTGTTTTTGTTTTTTGATAATAGAGATTGAGCCTAGGGCCATCACACTGAGCTACATCCCCAGCCTGCCCACGTGTATTTATTTGCTCACTTCTTTTGAAACAGGGCCTTGCTAAGTTGCCAAGCTTAACTCAAATTTATGATTCTCCTACCTTCAGCTCCCAGAGCACTGGGATTATACACGTACACTACTATGCCCCGGCTTTTTAGTGAGAATATGAAGACACTGAGATGTATTGGAAAAATTAGAACAAACTCTGTTCTCAGCTCATATTTGCAGCTTGATCTGAAAAGTACTTGGGTCCTGTAATACCATCATTTAGAATAATCATGGTTGATTCATTCATTAAAGTACAGACAGTTTTTGACTATCCATTGAACTTTCCTGCAGTGCAGATTTTCTAAAGTATGTTGGAATCCAGTATAGCTGTTTCTTCCTTCACATTTCTAGTCAGTGCTGCTGCTTCTACCTGAATGTGCACAGGATGAAGTGAGCTTATGAAAAGCATAATCCATGAGAATAATTCTGAAAAAAAACCTATGGCAAAGCTACGTATAAATCACTAAATTTACTGAATTTTCTAGGGAACAGCCTTCCTCTTATGGTGAATGGTGAAGAAACAGCAAACTAATAAATGCGGTAGGTCCACATTTTCTTAAGTGTCCTGATTCTTAGTTCTTGTAATGAACTGTTCTTCACTGAGGATTGGCTTCATGAAAATGTTTTCATGTGCCTAGAGTTAGGCTGAGAATTCAGCAGATTAGATACCTTTATCATCATTCATTTTCATACGGACAGCTTCCAGCTAGATCTGAAATTAGATCAATAACTACCTTGAACTCATCTGACCTGTAGGGTGGCTCATAAGGAAAGAGATTTAGAGTAGAAAAGATAGATGATGCATGAATTTGACATATTTGTAGAATACAGAAAAAGGCTTTTAAGAAACTTCCCACATGAAAATGTAACTTTACCCTATATGTAGTTAGTTTGCAAGCAGGCATAATTAGGTCTTCCACTGCATTGATCCTTACAGATGCCCTTGAATTCTGCACCCGGCTGGGGACAGTCCGCCAGGGAAGGGCTGTTGCAGTAAAGTGTTGGTCTGGAGCCAACACTTTAATTTGGCCATTATCTTAAGATTTCTCTGTTTCTTCCTTTGCTCTTGTCCGCACTCCACAGTTTGTATGGATGCTGTCTGATGGAGGGTACCTTACCACCCTCTTCATCTCTGACTGTGGGGCTAAATTTTTCACAGAGTAAGGACAGGTGCTGTGTTAATCTCACCATGCCAACAATCAGGGCACCACCTAGCAGAGTCAGTGAAGGCCAAAATAAACAGTGGAAGATAACCATTTGATCATATCTTTTTATAAGAATGACATCTTCAGATTGGCTGTCCGGACTGTAGAAGCATGAAAAAGAGGTTCCATTTTTGTGATCGAAGAATTCCTTTATGTCCAGAACACCGCTGAGTAAATCATCCCTATCTTGGTGGCACTTCGGTGTGTAAAAGCACTGGGAATATGGAGGGGGGAAAAGATGACAGTATTGTCACCAATATCAAGCACTTCACAGTTTTAATTTTGGAACAGTTTCAGTTGCAAGCTAGCAGACAGAAATTTCAGTCTTAGTTCAAATATTACACAGCTTATGAGTAAGATTGGCAGGGGGGTACCAAGTTAAGTGGCCACTTGTAGGTACTAAGCTAAAAGCCTGAGGTTTATTACCATATCCATTAGCACTTGGGATAGGGTGTTAAAGTACTACAGAAATGTTGGAGAACTTAAATGTCATTGCTGCCACAACAAAACCTCATACTGAAATTAAAAGACACCAAAGTTCAGTGTCATCTAATACAACTTTCATAGTTAACTACAAATCCTACCAGTTGTATAACTTACCAAAATACAGTAATTACTTAAAGACAAAATTGTTTAACCAAAGGTAGACTGTCGAGTATATTTTTTAACATTTTTGATATGCTAGCGAGTGGGACCTCTGAAAGTAGGACTGCTCATTCCCTGAACCTGCAAATTTCAGACACCAACTTGTGAAACTAGAGTAATGCCTTCTGTTCCTATGTAGCCCAGTCCTCCCCCGAGAACGCTTTCACCTGTTTTTTTATCATGACTTAACCACTACAGAAATATTCACTGAAAGGAAACATTGATCCTTACAGATGCCCTCGAATTCTGCACCCAGCTGGGGACAGTCAGCCAGGGAAGGGCTGTTGCAGTAAAAACTCTTTAATTACATTAATTTAAGTTACCTGGGAATTGAACTGGACAGCCTCTTCATTGTAGTGTAGAAGAGCTTTCTGACCTGAGTGCGTGAGGTTCACGAACACCTGAAGACACGGATACTTCCCCTGACCTCTGCAGCCCACGCCACAGCTGAAAGCACAGTCCAGCCAGTCCTCCATGATACGTGTGTGGATGGTTGTGCAGTTTGATTCTTCTCTCAACGTGCTGCAATATGGAAAAATGCATGTTCTTCAATACTAGAGAATGTAGTTCTGCAGTCCTGATGTCGTAGCCCAAGGCATTTGTCTGATTTGAGGAACCATTAACAGGTGTCACGTGATGATCATGGAGTATGGAGGATGTAGAGATGGCATGAGAGCAGTAAGTTGGAGTGTCCGTCTCAATTCTGACTACCAGTGTGCTTCTCACTGTACCAATCCTAAGATCCCCTCAGATCCTCGGTATTCAACTTTCAGAACATCCAAAGAAGTTTTTTAGGAAAACCTGATAAACGTGATCCCAAAGCTTCACTTGCAGAGATTCTGGCTCAGTGGGTAAACTGAGACCCAAAAATCTATATCTAATAGTATGTAAGGTGCAGTTATTTGGAGACACACCTTAAGTGATGTTACCCTAAGTATTGCATCACTACATTTCATACTCGGAAGTCTCATCACTTCATGTTTCATCACTTCAAGATGCCCCTTATCCTTTGGGAGGAGACAGCACGGCCTGCAAGAGTCCTAATAACCAGGTACAGTTCCTTACACACACTGCACTCCCAAAAGTCAAATGCAAGTGCTTGGCAAATCTTTACGTAGTAGAATACTTACTATAGCTTTGCTACCTGTAAGTTCCTTCAAGTTAGGAGCTACATCCTTGTCCTCTTTATGTTCTTCAAAACAGAAGCACAGTTCTGTAAGTGTACTGATCAAACTTCACTATGAAAACGTTATTGGAGATTGCACATGTACTACATATACAGGCCGTGCATAGAAATGGTAGACAAAGTTCTTGCTGTGAAAATGTGGCAGTATGGAGGAAGGCTGTGTGCATATGAAATAATTAGAAAACAGGTCCAGGATAAAGTAAGTGAAGGCAAGAGGAAATCCTGGGATCAGTTTTGAGACCACCTCTCATCTTGGGGGTCCTGTGTTTATTTCCTCTTGCCTTAAACAAGAAGTTTGAAACAAGCTTTAAGCCAGAATCTTGAAAACCATTGTTAGCTAGGTTCATACCCTATTCTCATTCATGATCCTAAGTAATAATTTTTCTTTATCAATAAACCTGAGGCCACTGTGCATTTTAACCTGACTCTCAAGGCCTAGGACACAAACATTGCCGGCGTGGAGCTCAAGAGATGCGGGAACAGGGGCAGTGGGAGAGCGTGTGATGCAAGGATGGGGGACTCCACCTGATGTTGGTGGCTTCAGGGATGATGAAGGACCTCACAGCCCACAGGACCAAGGTACAAATGTGGGCAGCATCTTGATATCTAGAAGCATCTGGAGAGGAAACTCCCAGAAATCCTTCCCAGAAACATGTCTCCTCTGGAAAGGAATGCCTCTAGAAAACTCCCCCAGGATCCTATCAGTGGTGCTGCATAACATGGTGACCTCTTCATTTTTTTTCCAAAGACTGGTAACTCAGGAATGGCAGGAAATTAATCTGAAAAGTAAAAAACCTGGGCATGATTGGCACATCCCTGTAATCCCAGCACGGGAGTCTTAAGGCAGGAAGGTCATCCTGAGTTCTAGACAAGCTTAGGCTGCATAGTTCAAAGCCAACTGAACTACCTAGTGAGACACTGTCTCAAAAATGAATCAGTAAATGAAAACAAAAAGATGACTCACTTCCTCCTGATGACCCTTCTTCCTAGGAAATTGACATCTCAAAGGGAAAATTTATGACCGAAATGGTTATCTAAGTGTTGTGATGGAGGTGGATTGTGAGATTAGAGGACAGAGATTAAAGGAGTAGCTTCCACTTTAACGCTTCCTTCTCCATCTCCAGCTGCTTCCCATCATGGACAGAGGAACAGACAATTCCACCTCCCATCCTAGACCACTGTCAGGAGAGCCGGCCCTGGAGAAACCAAAGGGGCCTCACCTCCTTTATCAGAGGACCTAGGTTGGACCCAGATTGGAAACTGGATCTTGTGTCTCTGTTTCTTACCTGAGTATGAAAGGTTTCAGGATCTTTGTTCCAAGCAAGAAGAACATCAGGACTGAGAAAGCCATCATAGCAAGCCCCAGCAGCACGGCTCTGTCCTCTCCTGCACTGGACGGCAGTTTCTTGTGCACATCTGGTAGCTCTCCATTGCTGTAGTCTCTGTACCTCTTCTTCCCAGGGATAGAAAAAGCTGTCCTGGGGAAGCGGGGGAGATGCCACAGTGAGCTCATACAGAAGCGGCAACAAAGCCAAACATGGAGCTACATGTCTGTAACCCCAGCCCTCTGGGAGGCTGAAGCAGAAGGATCCAAGTTCAAAGCCAGCCTAAATAACGTAACAAGACTCAGAAAATGAAGGCTGGGGATGTAGCTCTGTGTGAAGGCCTTGGGTTATTCCCCAGTACCCACAAGGAATAAAAGTAGCAACGTTTATTAGCACAAGGAATTGAGGAATAATGGCGTTTGCTGTCCTGAAGGTGGTGAACAAGTTCATCAAGATCTCACCTGCAGAACCTGGTGAAAATTCTGTCTTAAGTTCACATCATATATTCTCAAATATTTTTAAAAGAGAGTGTGACACAACTAAGGAATGTGGCCTACTGGAAGTCTTTAGAAATCTGTGTAACTAAAAACCAGAAAAAACCTACAAGTAGCTTTCATAAGTATTAAAAACTGATCTTTCAGGGATATTGTACTTCGTTTCTGAAAATATTTTCTACATTGTCTTACGAATTCCATATGGAAAAAAATGAAAAAATGTCACATTTGGGGTGAACCATGCTGACCTAGGAAGGTCGGTCTTGTTCTTCCACACCGGGCGTCTGCCCACACTGATGGAGATTTCAGTGCCATCTTCTCTCCCCTCGCTGCTTCACTCCCTGTCCCCTTGTGCTCTGCGTGGATGTCCCTGCACTTCTCTCCTCTCTGCTCTGCCTGGAAACTCTCTCCAGCACAGGTTCTTTCACCATGGGTGTCTAGGGCAACACATAGGTCATAGACGGTGCCCAGCCAGTGGCTGGATTTAGTTTGGCTTACTAGGGAGATTATTGCCTTCAAATCATGATATTTCTCTTTAAAATGCTGATTTCCAACTTTTAAAAAAAACGCTAACCTCCACATTCCCGCAGCTGAACCACTGGCTGAGCCTCAGAGCAGTGTCTCTCCTCCACATGGGTCGTGTCCTGGAGTCTGCCACAGCCCCACCACTTCAGGTGGCCGGTGCCACCGATTGAGTGTTCCTGCACCCCGTGGTCCATTTTTAAAGGCTTTGTAAAGTCACAAGTCAAGCAAGTGCATCTCTAAAGGTAAAAACTCAGGCTCTATCAGACCACCTATACAACTTCTAAATTTTGAAGCCAAGAAAAAAACCCTATCAAGGGAATTGGTAGTTGTCGCTGTTTTTCCTCAAAGCATGCTTCGTACTTTGCCCTGCAGCCTTGGCCTTTCTCTCCTGCAGTGCCTTCACACGCTGAAGGACTTGAGGCCAGGATCTGGTGAAGCAGGGCGGCCCAGGAGCCGCAGCTCTTAGTCTCCTTGGATACCATACTCACCCCCCTGTCATGTCACCCTTGGAGAATGGACACAGAAAAAATAAAATTTGATCCAGGGCATTTTATGACTTATCAGTAAGTTGGATATGTTGATTAAGGACAGTTTTCCCCATTAAGTAAAGTTTGGAAGGGGCTGGGGGTTTAGCTCAGCGGCATAAGCGCCTCACTTGCAGGTGTGTGGTCATGAGTTCAATCCCTGGTACCAATAAAAAAGAAAAAGACAAAAAAAAAGTAAGGTTTGGATATTTTCTGTAATCTCCAGTATCGAGCATCCTCCATTTTCCCTCGTGCTCTGACACTGGGCCTCTGTTGATCTGCCAAGGCATCCGGGAGGCTTTACTGTAAGATATCCTTGAAGTCCAGGAATGAAGAAGCTTTTGATGAGGTCCCTATGGCATTTCTGATACATTCATTATACTAATTATAACAGTATGTTACACAAAACTGGCATAAAACTGTTAGATTCTGCTCTAATTGAGGAATAAGAACTGGCAGAACCCTAGACCTGACTTCCTGTTTCTAAAATTTCTGTCCACTTTGTTCTAAGGCTTTATGACAAATTGATGTAGTGGTGTGCACCTGTAATCCCAGCACCTGGAAGGCTGAGGCAGGAGGATGACAAGTTTAAGGCCAGCTTGAGCTATGCTTTGAGTTCAAGCCCAATTCTCAGATACATAACAAGACACTGTCTAAAAGAGGAAGAGGAGCAGAAAACAGGTCCATGTTTGGAGGAGGGAAAATAATCATTAAAAATTATCACAGATAACTTTTTACTATTGTGAAAGTCATAGTATTCTTTGTCAGGGGTGTGGAAGATCAGATACCTACTCAAACTACAAATACCTAAAAATTCTGCCTAAAACTAAAAGAATTTGGAAACTCAAGGGGCAAAAAGTACATGAAAATGGCAACCTAAAGAGGAAAGTGGGGAGAGCCAAAGTTTTACCTTGAAGGATCTTCAGGCTTCACTCTGAAAGTTTGTGTGGTCACAGGGGTAGGAGAGAATGCCCAAAGCCTGTCCGAGGTACGGAATTTAATACATCATTCAGCTGTAGCTGGGGCCCCAAACTACCTAAGTTTCAGTGTAAGGTTGATGTTTAAACATGCACACGCACACACACACTTCTATAAGAGACTGCAAGGAAAATATTTTTCTCAAACTTTAACAGAGAGCAGGCCAGTCATGGTGGCACATGCCTATAACCCCAGCACTTGGAAGGCTGAGGCTGGAAGACCACTGAGAGTTCAAGGCCACTGAACTGCATGGGAAGATCCTGTCTCAAAAAAAGTAAAAAAAAATTACAATCTCCTCCCAAATTTGATAACCCAGTAAAAGATGACTCTTAGAATTTGCAGTCTGAATTTTCTCTACCCGGACAATCCAGAAACCTCAAGTTTAGAGTTAGCTTAAGGTTGTCTGAAGTAAGTAGTGCCATCTGCCTCCCAGTAGAAGTAAATATGTACAAAAAAAAAAAAAAAAAAAGATATTTGTTAAGGGCTGGGGATTTAGCTCAGCAGCATAAGCGCCTGCCTTGCAAGCAGGCAGTCATGAGTTCGATCCCTGGTACCGATAAAAAGGAAAAAGACAAAAAAAAGAAGTAAATATGTACCTTCTTCATAGACCCTCCTCCAGCCTTGACCTCAAAAGAACACTATAAATGTCCAAAAAGTACATATTCATGTTCAAAAATCGTAAGACTTGCAAGGAAATAAGGGACTTTGAGTATACAAAAATATAGACAACAGAATCAGATCCACAAAAAAATGAGATTCTTCAGAGGAATATATTTAATGTTCTTAACATTTAAAAAAAAGGATTGAAGAGTAAGGGACTCTAAAATACTATCAAACTAATATTAAAAATTTAGCTCGGTATGGTGGTGCACACCTGTAATCCCAGCACTCGGAAGGCTGAGGCAGGAGAATCACCGTGAGTTCAAAGCAGCCTGGGCTACCTGTAAGTTCAAGGGAACCCTGAAAGGCAGGGCAAAACTCTGACTCAAAAAAAAAAAATGTTTAAGAACCAAATAGAATTTCTGGAATGAAAAAGTAATTGAAAGTAAAAACTTAGTGGACAGATTTAAGAGTCATTTAGATCCATGTGAAAACATATTAAACAGCTAGATCTGCAAAATAGCCTAAGTGTAATACTGACAGATTTTTAAGTGGAAAATACTAAAGTGAGGTTAATAAGATTGATGGGAAATGTGTAACATGGTATCTTTTCAGGATTCCCCAAAAAAGTGTTAGAAGCAATATGATAAAGAGAAAATGAAATTTCAGAACTAATGAAAAGGCCCATCCACAGATTCCAGAAACCCTGTGGCATAAAATAAAAAGAAATCTGTACCTCAACATACCCAGATATATATTACATAGCCATAAAGACAAAGAAGAGATCTAAGCAGCCAGAGAAAAACATAGACTGCCTTCAGGACTGACAACCTGAACACTTACTTTTGTACAATGAAATAGAAGCGAGAGCATTGTCACTGCCCTAGAGAAAGTGACCACAGACTTCTGTATCTGCAAAATTCTCTCAAGTCTAAGTGTGAAACAAAGACATCTCACACACTCCAACAACAGCAGACCCTCACAGACCTCAAAGGAAAAGGTCCAGTATTTTCTCTGAGTAGATAGATAACCACCCAGGTGACAGAACTGAGATTTAATCCAAAATGAACAGCAAATACAGGAGTAGATAGGTAGGGATGCTCCCTCTATGAATAATGATAGAAATCACTCAGTATATTATAGTGGTTGGGGGATTTTTTAAAAAAGGTAAATGCATGACCGAAGCACACTAATGGGATAATAGTGCTGTGTGTTCTAAATGCTTGGCAATTTCAGGGAAAGAAACAAAAAGACATTTTATTTCAAGTCTGCATGCTAAATTTGTGGAGTAGCCTTTAAAAAGTAGAAATAAGTGATGTAATTTTCAAACTCATAGAAAAATAATTAAAAGGGGAAAAGTTCATACAAAAGAAAGAAAAGAATTCAAAGAAAAAACAGGACAGACCTCATAAAATACATGATAGAATAATGTTACTCTATCAATGTCGAAGGAAGAGAGCCAAATCTTCTGGTCATTGTCTGTCTGTCTGTCTCTAACTCGAGGTGATCTTCCTGCCTCAGCCTCCCCAGTGCTAGGACTCCAAGCGTATGCCACCATGCCCGGCTCTCATCTCCACTTCGGACCGATGTATTATCTTGAGACATTTATCCCTGTCAAGGATGCAGAGAGGACTGACTTTCCAACCAGACCCAAGCAAAACACAGCATTACAGGCATGTTCTTGCTGGGCAAGTCAGCCAGGGCACAGTCAGTGACAGGGCTTTGAACACACTCATCTGGGTGTGAGCCGACAGGAGCCAGCAGCCTTCCCCTCTGACACTGAAACGGGCAGGGGGTGCTCTATAGAAACGCACTGTGGTGCATCTCAGCTTCTCAGTCCTCTGACACTCAGTTCACCACGTATGTGACTCCTCGGCACGGGGCACCTGACGTTAATATATCCCTGTAATTTGTTTTTGTTGCAGCGAAGATTGGGGCAATTATTTCTACCTTTCTATTTTTTAATTACCAAAAACTTAACAACATTTTTTTAATGACTTCTTTTGAAACGGCGGGTTCATCAAGTTCAGCA